GAGTCTCCATCATCTGTCTTCTATACAAGAGGAACATTACTGATTAGTCTGTCACTGAACTTTGGCAAACATCAATCCATGTACAATTAACCCACTGCAAGTCACATACTGATTACATCAGCTTGCAGAACTCACTTCAGAACCACTGCAGATGAAGACATTGGTTCATTGCTGACCAATCAGTATAGCATTTTTGTCAAAATACAACATTTAGCACGACATACCAGTGTTTAGAGAGAAAAAGGGCTTTCACATTAGATATTTTTGTTGTTGATTGAAGATCATCTGGTGAAAGCATTATGATATTGTGACGTGTTGCGCAATGGTAATAGGCAGGTCAACATCCTCCCCCCCCCCGCCAGCAGTGACGCGCCGAGTGGAGCCGAAGTTAGCCGAGTCCCAGCATCCTGGTAGGTATGCAACACGAGTCAACAGCGGTGACGTCATCAAGGGAAACCGCAGTTGCTAGGCAGCAGTAAACAACTCCGGACAGTGTTGCTAGCAACACGGCGCCAGGCAACAAGGGTGCCTATTACGTAGCCGTGTTCTGTATGGTCCGGATCGAGGCTACATAAGGAGCAGCGAAGGCTATTCACAGTTAGTTCTCAAGGCAGCTACCTACGAGTTAGTTCCGAGTTAGTTCCGAGTTAGCCAGCAACCAGTCAGTTGTATTGTGGCATTTGCAGTGTAGTATTTGTGATACTGCAGATAGCAGTAATTGTCAGATTGTAATTTGGGTGATTGTAAGTGCGAATGTGAAATAAAATTCGCTATATCCACTAAGGCGTGAAGTTACTTGTCGCGTATACACCCAAACACGTGACAATATTTTCTGTGAAACTGCACTTACACTCAAGCAACCTAACCCTTTCTAGCAGGTAATTCCATGGCAGTGCCTGGCAGTCAAAGGGTTATATCATGCATTAAAAACTACAGTCCTTCACTAAATCAGAACCACACTTCATTTGCCAGCTAGCCACTCTGCAGCACTACGCAGTGCAATGTGTAACTAATACATGATCTAAAGGCTGTTTTAGAACAGGATCTTTGCATAATGTATTGACTTATGAGGGGAACGCAAGTCAATGCTGGATGAAGGTGATTTGTGAGTTGTTGTGAGTTGAACTGTTCACCAAATATTACTATGATGACCAAATCAAGGATGCCAGGAGCAGTTCTAGACTTGAAGATATGTTGTGAATGATAATAGCATTGACTACAAAACGCAATTCTCACCTTCATTTTTTCACTACTTTAATTTTTTCCTTGTTTTGTTTTGTTGTTTTCAAAAACCTCTCTCAAGATTAAAACCCTACTTCAGGTTGAGTAACTTCCTTTTGTACTTATCATTTTCTTACCTCACTAAAAATGGCAATGGCTTCTGAGTGACTCATGTCTTCAGGAAATAAAAATGCATGGCATGTTGCACAAACTGGTTCTTCAAAGCAAGGGCCATAGAAACCATTGCATATGTAACAGGAGGAATGCTGGAATATAAATAGCCATGATTTAGTAACATATAGTTTAAGCTAAAACCCTGGAGGTCCCGTTTTTGTAGCCATGGACACAATCAAACAAACTACATTACAGAGGAAAAATAAACATATCATAACTATGACACATAGTATGTGGTAGCATAGTTGGTTGAGACACTATGCTACAAGCCGGAAGGTCGCTGGTTCAAGTACCGATGAGGTCACTGGATTTTTTCAACTGACCTAATCCTTCCAGTTGCACTACGGCCCTGGGGTCAACTCAGCCTTTAACAAAAATGAGTACCAGGAATTTTCTTGGGTGTAAAGGGCGGTCGGCACATAGGGCTGACAACCTTCCTGCCATCTATGAGCTGATTGTTTAGAATATGTGGAAAACACATCTCACAACCCTATGGGCCTCCATGGTCTGTGACAGGGATACCTTTACTTTTTTTTTAACTATGACACTAACCCAAATGAAACTTAATATTAATGCAGAGATCTAAAACTCAAACAGAGCCAATTTTTTTTCACATAATGAAAGCAACTCTATCTGAACTGCAACCAGATGAGGCCTCTCCTGTGCCACACACCATGTATTCTGCCTCAATTACAAAACTTGTCTGGGTTGAAATTAGTTGATATTCTTCAGTACTAGGACAGTGCCCATGCCACTTTTGAACACACAATATCTGCAATAACTAGAACTGAAAGACAAGGATGGTCAATGAGCAGCAGTGCTGAGGCATGATAAGCAATAGCTGATTCAGTTACTTTAAATAATGTGACTACATAAATTTATGTTGATTTCAGTCACTACAGGTTACAAGCTGGTCAATCAAGAAAGTGAAATTTGATTCCAGAAAGCACCAAGAGAATTTTTTCTCTCTCCAATAGCCAGACTAGCTCTGAAGTCTACCCATCTTCCTATCCAGTGGGTATTGGAAGACATTTCCTCAGATGTAAAGCAGTTGAGGTGTGAAGCAGGCCAAATACCTCCACCTGCTGCCAAGTTTAGGAATGTGTGGAAGCTAGACTTCTGCTCCTTCATACAACTTCATGAACCCATGCTTAATTTTGCACAGAAGCAACTTCCTCATTTATCTCTGTATGCCAATCTTACAGTGTTCTTCTTGTCAATGACTAGACAGGATTTACATTTATAGATTCTAAGTTTCTTTTTAACAGGCTGCATCTTATAAGAACTGTTCTGTTCATATTTTCGAGCTGATAATGGAACAAAGCCTGAGGGCCCTCTTCTGCTCCTACACCACTTCTTCATATAAGATATGTATCCAGTGTGGCAACTCTTTTTTTTACTAATCTCTCTGAAGAGACTTTTGAGTCCTTAAAGAACGCCTCTCCTTTATACACTACTAAGTACTCAACACAATTTTTAAAAACAGAGAACACTGCTAGCCCTGGAACTCGGATCTACTTCAAGCGGTCACTAAAATTATATTTAATGCCATCGACTGCACGTAGAACTAATTGAAAATTGGAACATCAAAATTAATATCAATACTTCATACATTCATTAACTTACCACATATTCGAAATCTTCTACAAAAACTTGTTCGCTGCAGCTACTGGTGGTCGATTGGTGGGACTTGCATTCTGACCGCTGCTCATGAGTTACACCCATCTCTATTTGCCCAGGGTCATTAAAACCTTCAGTGCAATTATTCACTTCGTGAAGGTTCGATGCCATTACTGAATATCAAGATACACAAGCAAGCTAACCAATGTCAACGTTCATACACAGCTCGCAATAAATACATCTCCACACTAGCGTACCTTCGCTTTCAACTTTTTCGTCTATGACAGGACGGACAGGACTGCTGAGTCAACATAAAAATTTCCTTCAGACACCATTGCCAATCCTTTTCCCCGTAATTTCTCACGATATATCGCAAACTGTTCTATGATATATCGTATTATACAAATGGGGCATGTGGTGAAGATATAGACATAAGGAAAATTAAACACGATTGATTTAAGAAACCAATTCATAAGATCAGTAAAGATGTCACATTAGATATAAATATTATTATATGTTTAATCTTGGATATTACAATAATAAATTTACGTAGTTATAGAGTGAACTTTTCCATTCATATGGAAGCAAATATTCGGCTTAAAACGCTGTCAGATGATCCAACCGACTTAAAATTATTGCTGCAACAAACACATGATGAGGTAGGTGAAATATGTTCAGCAGGAACCAACAGGGACTTCATAAAATTCGTGTATAAGACGTGCTAACAAACTTGCCTTGTAGGTTAAAGTTTGGTGATATGCTACGTTGTTGACAAGTTTATCTTTGTTTTTTCCCAGCTCATGGTACTGGAAAGGTTATGCCCATAGTAATGAAGCTTATGTGATACAAATTGCATCTGTAGCTTTCATGCTGTCGGCAGTAACACCACATTAAGATATTGTAATGAAGGTCACCAATGTTTCCTGTGTCCTATTTCAGAATTTATGTTTCTCTTCACTTTTATTTTATACCGCAAAGGTTGAAAACTTAAAACAAGATGTTAAAGTAAATCATAACTCACTTCATTAGTTTGCATATTGTGTCGTTCGCCAATCAGAGTGGCCGCGAGGCCTCAGGCATGAAAATTTTTCACCTGCTCAAACACTAGGATCCTGGGTTCGAATCCCACTCGAAACATGTATGTTGGCGTGTATTGTGTGTTTATGTTGTCTGTGTAGGTAGCGGCCTTGTGACAGGTTGATCTCCCGCCCATGGAGTCCAACCGACAGTCTGTATGATAAACTGTAAAACATAAGCCAAGGGTCAACATGGACTGTAGCACCCAGAGACGGTTATTATTGTTGTTGTTGTTGTTGTTGTTATTATTATTATGTTTTTATTCTTCACTGTCTCAGAGTCTGAAAATAATTGTCAGCATTACACTGTTTAACTTAAATATGAGACCGTTTCTCATATGTTACAGGCATTGCAGAAAAATGAGTATGCAACAAAACACTGGTTGAAATTACGGGATGAACATATGTCACTCCATTCTCATCTTGGCATACTTCCTGATAAGTTGTCTCATGATGTCATGGTTCCTATAGGATCGAAAGCTCTGATGAGAGGGAAGATGGTTCATACAAATGAAATATTAGTATGTCTCGGTGATGGTTGGTTTGTGAAACGGAGCGCTAAGGAAGCAGCTGAAATATGTGACAGGCGGATAAAATGTAAGTTTCATTAAGAAGGAATATGAAGATTACTTTCTTTCAGAACGTGATGCATTGTACTGCTCACTGCCATCAGAACCTCTAATCTCAAATAAGAAGGAATAATTCATAGGACTCCAGAAATTTTAATTTAGTTCACGAAGTTATCAAAGCTATGATTGTAGTGTCACAACTGAAAAGAATTTAATTGTAAGCTGCTGTTTTGTCAAGTTACTGCCTGTGAAACATTATTGTATTGTAGAAACATGTGAAAGAGGTTTTAGTTAGTTAGTTATTGGAGAGGGTGGGTTTCCCCATGCACTTAGACCTGTCTTGGTCCATTATGCTTCCCTCTATGATATTCTACCAGTCTCTATATCCTACCGGTACTGGTGCTTACCATCAGTCCCGCCCAGCCAGCGAGACCAGCTCTACTAGCTGAGAGGTATCAATAATGCTTCCCCCATCTACCAGAGGTATTAGAGACTGCTCTTGGGCGGGAAACGTCCGTAATTTGGCTCAGTGACCTCCTTTGGAGATATGAGGTTCTTTTACTTGCCGTAAAGCTACGACACGGGCCCCACGGCTTAAAGTCCCTCCCGGAGGACTTGTTCCCTGAATTTTTCCGCCCTTAAAAATTCGATGACCTCCGCCGGGTATTTGAACCCGCGTACTACGAGTCATGAGGTGGGAACGTTACCTCTAGACTACGGANCTGTAGAAACATGTGAAAGAGGTTTCAATCAAAATATACCGAAAATGAATCTGCTTTTTGCTGCATTTGTTTTGATGCTAAGTAATTAATTTGGTTTCTGTAGTGTGTGACAATATGCTGAAAGACTTGGAGAGAGAGCACAATTTGCTACTTACAAGGAAAGAACTTCCACTTGAGCGGGATGCTTTTGGAGCTGAGACTAGGAGAGAGATATTAGAACCATATGATGAGAAGACAGAGGCAGAATGGAGAGGTAAGAATAGGGTTAATAAGGTAAAGCTGTACCTGTTCTTCATTAAGCGCTGTGATCTGCCATGCATTCATATGGGAGGTGGATACACAGTATTACCCTCACCACTAGATGGAAGTGACTGGTCAGCTTCACACCCAAGCCACTTTATCCCCCAGGGAAACAGCCCCCCATACCAGCTGTATTGAATTGAATTGAATTTATTTACATTCTATAAATCCTAAGCAGGTTAGTACCTTTGGATACAGAACAAGTCAAAAGGTTACATACATAAGTACAGGCAATTTTAGCTTAAAAATTAATATAACTTAATTTTACATCATTCTCTATTTACATTGAAGTATTCATCTAAAGAGTAGAAGGAAT